AACCCCAAAACCCCAAAACCCCATTACTCTAAATTGCAATAAAAATGTGAAAATTATAAAAATCAAATTAGTTTGCTATAATTATGATCAGTATTATTAAAATCATTACCACTTGCAGTATAAGGCATATTTTGACTTTATTTTCTAGATATATTAACTTAAGTTTCTTATCTATTAAAGTTTTTAGTAAAACTCTTCACTATCCTTTTTTTCTTTCTAGTTTCTATTCGCTCTTAGTCCATTATGAAATTAATCCTTGAACCCATTCCTAGTGCACCAATAAAGTAAAACAAATAAACTGAGAAAAATATAGAAAATGCTGGAAGTGTATGTGTGCCTATCTAAATCAGTGAGATAATAACATATACGATGGAGGATGTAAAGAAATATATGCAAAAGGGTCTACCATCATTCTGAAACTCGAATCCAGATATTAATTCAACTTAAGTATTTATTGATCCATCTTAAAATCCCCAGGCAAATATCACAAATGATTCGAAAAACGTAGAAATTACAATATCGGATATATAAATCATAGTTGATAAATACAAAATAACTGCTACACCCATATTTGTATAGATTGATAGTTTAAATCCTTTAATATCAATGAGTAATCCAATAAACATAGAGCCTACTATATTACCAAAGCATCCAATCATACTAATTCGCATTTTATCTGTAAATTTAGCAAGTTAACTTCCACTATGCTCATTTTCTTATGTTAGGATTATATCAGGTAATTTTTCAAAAATAAAGGGTAAACACATTGAGCTTTGAATCACCATAGGTAAGAATAACTAATACTTTTTATAGCTTAAGAGCTCCTTGAAACTTTTCAAATTTTCTAAGAAGGTTGAAGTTTAGAATTCTTCTTCACTCTCATCTTAATCATCATTAGCTAAATCAATTCTATTTGAGAGGATAATGTTGGCAGATTGAAGACGAGCTTAACTAAATGGTGAAAATTAATCCAGAGTTGCTTAATTATAGTGAGTCTTAGGTGATTCCTACTAATCAATTGAGTCATCAAGATCTTACTCCAATTCAAACATAGAAGATTTCAGAGAATTATTACTAATGATTTTGCCTTCTTAATCGACTTCAGATTTATTTTAGGTGCTCATAAAGAACATGAATGAGGTAAAAAGCGTTAGTCCCCATAGGAATACTATATAGTCAAAGAGAGACATACCTTCAAACCAAAAGTAACCAGACACATAACCCAAAAGATGAGCAATATGATAAAAGCCCCAATTATATCCGAAAAATAGACCCTTATGTTTTAATGGAGTCAGTTGAACAATATATTTTAGTAAAGCTGGCACTGTGATGCCTTCAGAAGCACCATTGCATACTGAAAAGAAAATGTCACTTGCCCTTTAAAACCAATCAGGATATAACTCAGATTCATAATCTATTGGGCTTTTGAGTAATCCAGTTAGTCTGCTAAGAATAAAAGGAGCACCTATCATGCTTCCAAATGACATTGTATTAACCTCTCCAAGGGATTTAATAAGTTGATAAGATAACATTACTCCTCCCATTCTTGAAATTTTAGATACTTATTCTAGGACATCTATGTCCTTTATCTGCTTATCTTTGAGAATTTCATCATTTGGAATAAAATGCGAAGCAAAGATAATAAGGTTGTAGAGGGTCATAGCAAAAGACACATAAGTTAATCTAGCAAATGCTTTGGCATTTTATAATCCTTCTTATTATCTCTTAGTCTTTTTGTTATCATCATTTTGGCTAAATTACATTTTTGTAATAATTATTAATTAATTAAATATCCTAAAATATGTGTTAAATTAAACTAATTTCGAAGGAGGGGTTTTGGGGTTTTGGGG